AACTACATCAACAGTTTTTGACCTTGACCTTTCCTTTGACCTTGACATCACTTTTCTTAAATTAATGTTTAGCTCATTACTAAACATACCATTCAAGATGGTGTTATCATACTTCACATGTTGATACAAACTTACATGGATGATGCATCTAGGAATAGACAATACCAGACTTGCTTTGGATGCTGGATCTGACCTTCATTTTCCAGATAAGTGACCAGGTTAAAGTTTTTGGACCAGGTCCATTTCCAAGGAATTATAAGCCCTACCCAAACCAAACTTGCAGGGATGATGAATCTAGGAATGATCACTACCAGACTTGCTGAGGATGCTGGATCTGACCTACATTTTCAAGATGAGTGACCAGGTAAAAGTATTTGGAGCAGGTCCATTCCTAAGAAACTATAAGCCAAACTCGGAATAAACTTGCATGGATGATACATCTAGCGATGACGCAGGTGAGTTAAGGTAAAAACCAAATATTCTACTTGCCTATATGCTATGACGTTATAATAAGCTATATGACGTGAGATTTAGAGATAACAATTTCTTAAAAGCGATATCTAAGATTGATTTGAAGTCGTAAAATGAACCAAAATATGCAGAGGCGTAATATTAACGGAATTTTGTCAATCCTGGGCCTCTGTAGTTATCACGGGGGTTACATACCAAACCCATGACGTCATAACTGTTGATCATGCAGTAGCAGAGTGAAAGTGAAAAGTAACGAAAATTGATGTAAACAAACACAAGAAATCGGAGTTTAAAAGCATTTAGAATGAATGTCATGTGTGATTCTTGTATGAATAAAGCGTATGAATAAGGTATGGTAATAAAATTCTGCAATTTCTTCGTAGAGTTAAAGCAGGGAGGGTGTTTACTTGCCGATCAGCCTTTCCTCTGTCGTTCGTAACAAAAAGATGCAAAAGTTCAACACTACGCCATACTAATTATCCCCGGGGTGGTGTTATGGCTTTTTCCAAGTAGTGTTAGAAATGCGATTTTTTAAAATATACGCGGGTATGTTAAGGAAGCATATAAGTCATTTCTCGGAAAAATAAGACTTTTTAAAGAAAATATAGCTTGATAAATTGCCAAAGCCGCTAATAATTGTCACTTGTTATTAACTACTGAATACAGATAAAAGTGTGTCTAAAACAAAGACTTGCATCACTGCCACAGGATCACGTGACTTCTATTTATAGCCAAATTTTCCTTAATTCAATACCCCCGAGTTAACTAATTTCTTGGAGTAAATAATATAGTTGAAAAACATCTATTTTGCCTAAAAAGTGCTGCTAGAATCCCACTGTCCTGTCAGTAAAATGATTATTCTACACATTCGCACAAAACCTTACCCTGTGTTTTGAATTTTATACATACCAACCGAGATTTTTCGTAAAATCATGCTAAACTCGGGATTCTAGCAGCACTTTCCAAGTTTGTCAGACGGCAAACTTTCCATCTGTACAAATCTTATGTTTTGAAATATCCAGCTTATTGTTGTTCTGCTGCATTATTTTTGTCACAAATGACAGAGGAAAGTCCGACCGGGATACGTATATAGCTGACTGTCTTCGAAAGAGAATATCAGCGATAAAAATAAATTAACATACCTGTTTTATCAACTGATATCCATATAAATTTTACATGATATTAATGATATTTGCTTTTAAACTCCATTTCACGTATCTTTGTACAAGCCGTCGTAGCCAAATTCTCTTTACACGACATGATCAATTCCCAAGTTACTTGATGTACACATATGACGTCATCGTTGGTAGATTTTGATAAAAATGTCCGATACAGCATAACAAAATAAAAACATTTTATTTTTGTTAATGTTTACACGTTTCTATTCATTTTCTAGAGTTAAATAACATCTCTAAATACCAATACTACGAAAACTTGTGCTTTAAAATTGACGTCATCTCGCTTACTATGACGTCATAATGTAGCACTGGTTTAGTCAAAGTAGAATATTTTGTATGCTTCCTTATCACCCCTGCGTAGAATAAAGTAAAGACAAGCAGATTTTACAGTTGAAATCTTGTTGTGGTTTCGTCCCTGGAAAATGTTTCAAGGCTCTTTTCGCTAATATTTTGTTGTACATGTAGTTCAACCTTTAACTGTGAGATTAAGATCGAAAAAAAAACTTGTCTAACCTTTATGGTCTGGAACCTTGCCACTTGTTTGTTTAGGTACAGATGTTAACTATAACACTATAAACATGTTAAAAAATGCAATATTTTTTCAAAATTTATGACATGTTGCCATGGTAACAATGACACATAGCAACTAATTCTTTGCATACCTTTCAATAACAATGTCAAAAACTTTAAAGGGAGTTTTTAGAAATTCAGAGACAGTACATACAGCTCCTATATAAATGTTCAGGTCATTATAGATGATAGTGCTAAATTACTTTTCATGATAGCTATATACTCATTACAGGCACGTAGCATCGATTTTGAAGGTGTGGGGGGGGGGGGGGGGGGGGGGGGGGGGGGCCACAGATTTTTTTTTCTTTTATTTACCTGAAAAAGTTGACAAGCAAGAATAAAAAAAGGAAAATTGCCCAAAGTCGAAAATCCTATTTCGTGGATGGGGAGATGTAGAGGCAAACTTTTTTCACTACCAATATCCATTTTAAAGCTTACAATTCTATATTTCCTTCATATTACTTTATTTTTGTATAAAGTGGGGGGGGGGGGGCAAAAAGCCTTTCGGCGAACATTTTCAATAGTAAAAGTATATTGTTGGCCAAAAAAGTTGCTATAGAGGTGTATCTGTTGCTATGGTTATTGGTATTTGCAAAATATTCCTGGATTCAGAAAAATGTCTCAGAAATATGTTTTCACTCTAAAAATTGATTTTGGTATCCACCGATAAGATTTATTTCCATAAATAACTCGGATATTTGGTAATTTATATCTTTCTCTTAATCAGAGCATCCATTTTTGTTGCTAGGCAACCGATTATAAATATTTAAAATCACACGTTTTTGAATTTAAATTCCAAAAAGCACATTCCTCTGCCTTTATGTAAAATATTCCACACTCTTGTATTGTGTTAGAAGTTTGAGATATATGGCCTTGAAAATTGCCCAAATTAACAAAAATCCTGAATCAGCAAAAAATGCAAAACATGCATATCTTCCATTGCCCGGTAAAGAAATATCTCAAAATAAAAATCCTATGTATTTCATGGTTTTATCATTTGAAATGTTTATCTTTATGATGACATTAAATAAGAACCCCTCTGGTAATATTCACATTCAATTTCAAGCCTCCAATTTAAGTGATATATTTGTCCATTCACATGGAAAATTCACTGATTGCTAGGAAAAAATTCTTTGGCCATGTTTCCAGGACTCAAAATAGTTTTCAGTTTACATACATGGTTCATAGTGTAAGAGAAACCTATATGTGTAAAATCATCGAATTCTGAGAACCCTCATTATTCACTTTTATACACATATTGCCTGATTCTTAAAGAGACCCGTACTTAATATGTTTATAAGTAGTTTTTTTCTGATCCTTACTTCATTCATAATTTATTTCATCTGTAATTACCTGGGTAGTTATTATAAAAAGAAATTTGTAATGGACCCTTTTATTATGGATAAGTAAAAGAAAAAAATATGCATTTTATTTTATCTTAATCTAAATGTCTCGAACGCATTTCGAAAGAATGTATCTTATCCAATATTTTAGTTTAGGTAACACTCAATTGGTAGTCAGAATATTTGTATGAAGTGAAATTAAATCGGGTAGGTAGCAATGTAATCCAACTTTTATCCAGCTGTGAAGACGAGAGATGATCGTGGCCAAAGCGTTTTTTTTTCTCGAATTATTATTGGCACACTAAGCTTTCAGAAAATGTTTATTTATCATATTTAGGTGCATCATAAAGTATAGACAAACATAAAAAGTTAATTATGATTGAATATATACAGGGTACAGTCCTACGGCTCACGGTAAAAAAAACAAAGATTTATCAAAGAATACAAGAGTAGTGATTCGAAATAGAAGATTTAAATAGATAAGATTGGGTTTAAAATTATCCCTATTCGATTGCATAAATAATTTTGTCATCTTTTTGAAAAATCCAATTTTTTGACAGTTTCCTGGGCATCCGAAATTGGAAAGTGGTGAACACAACTCACAAAAAATAATGACGTTTGATGACCTTACGGCGCACAGGAGACAAATTTAGTTTGATTTAAATGGTGTTATAAAAGCTTAAGAGACTTTGAATCCATACAGAATAAAAAGAATAAATGAATAAATCAACAGATCTTTAGTATAGAATTGAAATCGGAGTTTTCTTAGTGAAGTCTCTCTTGATCGAGTCCCAGGTAGTACAAAATATACGAACAAACTGCTATAAATGTAAAAGCAAAAGACGCTGTTACTGTTGACCGTCAATATCAGATTTTCTATTAGTTGAATGATGGTGTTGAATTATATTTTCCGTAACTTACTAATATATCATCAGAAGATTCTACGTTTGTGCCAGATTGGTTCCTCATCTTTTACGGAGACTAAATTATGTGCATCAATGAAATTCCTAAATTTAAGATGGATATATCCAACTGTAATCTTATCGCAAATATGAAACGTAATGCTGTTCTAGACGCTTTGACGTTATCACCCGTGCGCCGTAAGGCGATACAATACATAATTAAAAAAAATCTCATAATTTGTTTATTTATGCATATATGCATATATGCATATATATTTGAAATTTGCTAAGTTTAATCAAAAAGATGTACTAAATAGTAGTGAAAATTTCAGAACGCAGTGATGATTATTTTTCACGCTAGACAACTTGTCCACGATTCTACCGGACAACCCTCGTACATTGGATAATTATCAATCAAATCATCAATCGATTAACTAAAACAATGATATTGTGTAAGAAGGAATGAAATCTCATTGCCAATATTTATGGGCTCATATTCCTTATTTTTTTTACTTTCGTTTTCTTTACCTTTACAGGTGACAGTATGTTAGACACTGGTTATGAATCTATGTATGATTTGTCTGGGATATCATTCTCAACCCCAGACAGAGATAATGACAGAATCAGTGGATTTGACTGTGCTGCTCAGTACAGAGGAGGCTGGTGGTTTAACTGGTGTCACTACGCCTTCCTCAACGGTCAATGGTACCCGGAGTTCTGGTACCACCCATGGTATCCAATAGTGAGAAGTGGTATAGAGATAAAAGAGACCGTTATGATGATAAAATCTCACTAATACTGTTCAATGTTGTTTTTGTCAGAAAATTTTATTGTCCTTTTTTCACAACCAACACAAGCACTGTAAAGCTTTTGACAGACGATTGGTTTGGTACCAAATACAGGACAACCTCTCTTATCTGGACCCATTTAGTTCAAAATTTGCTGGACTAGATGTTATTCCGATTAAAACAATATTTTAAGAATCATATTCACTGAAATGAATTTAAATATCGCCTCTTATAAGACTAGATGTATATACATTATAAATTTAAGACACAATTTACTATAGTTACTTTTGTAAGTGAAGGGAATTTGCATGGAGAATATTGCTTCACTTTTTATGTTTTTGAATAGCTTTCAAAATGATCACTTTTATGCATAGGATAAATTACAATTTTTCAATGTTGAAACGTAATAAGGGAGTGTATCTTTTGATGAAACCTTATGAAGCAAACTGTTATTCTTTTACTTCTTTTTAAAAATTATTATGTTAATTGTATATTTATATATAAATTGATCTTTTGCAATCCCATGGGTACTAATTGTGATCCGTTAATTCCAGACCTATTTTTGTATTCATATGAAGAACAATTTTCGCAAAAACTTGTTGTGGCATTCAACTCAACATTTAGATATATTGACGACGTATTGTCAATTTACAATTAATGGTAATTGCATTTCTTATGCCAATAAGATATATCCCGATGAGCTTGAGATTAAACATGCCTCAGAGTCTAACACATCTTTTTATTACTTGCATATTTTAAGGGGATGAAGTACCTGTAGCTGAAAAAATACCTGTCTTTCTTTTTCATATTTTGTCTATATCTTATTTAGTATGTACTACAAACTATAAAGCAGACATATCAATAGGTTTCTAGACTTATTTCTGAGATATTGAGTGATAAATACCATACCCCACAGTGTCTGAGCGGAGTTTTTATTCTCCGTGTTTCTGGGTCCATTACTCGGTCGATAATTGAAATGTTTCACCATAGATAAAAAATATACCAGCGGAAATGTGTCTTTTAAAATATTTTAGAGTATGAAAAGGGTTAAAAATTCGAAAAAGCAAGATTCTTTTGTAACACCACATCTGGAGACGGAAATTTACGACTTTTTTAGGACAACTTAAACCATAAAAAAATTAATTTGCCAAAAATCCTATCATTCAATATTTGAAAATTTACGTCGAAGTTTAAGGTCGTCATTGTATTGATTAACTGTAAAAATATCGATTGGTGAAGTTGAGCTCGATATTGCACGGGGCAAAGTTGAACGAGTCATGATCATGAGAAAAACGTGTGATGTTTACATTTCTCGAGTACGCGAAAACCCAACTATGACGTCACACATTCCTGAAATAAGCGAAATAAGACAAACCCACAGAACTTTTCCGTCAACAACCATGTAGAAATATTTTTTTGCCTTCTGAAATTTACAAAATACCCTACCATGTACATATTATGGCCCATTTTTATTGTTTTATACTACCTGTTTTTACCGTGTATGATCTTACTGAACTAAGAGATCCACTATGACGTCAAAGACGCACTGGACGCGCAGAGTAGGGAAACGGCAGAGTGGATTTATCTATTTCGTAATTTGATAATATTTTCAAGAAATTTTGAATGTTTTCAGATACTTTTGTACTAGATGGTGAACGCAAACAAACATTCAAAAAAAATATACAAGTACTGTGGTTTCAATCTCGTTTTGTACATATTTTATCAGAGATTATGACGTAAATCAACTGAGTCACGTGACCATACATCCTTCATCCCCTTAATTGATAAAGACGTTATTGGTAATCTAACAACCAAGCTCTATGATAAGCGTGACAACTTTAACTTTTCCATCGTCATCTTCCCTTAGTTATTTAGCAATATACCTTTATAACCTGCATACGGAGTTTATAGTTCTCAGTTGATTCGGTACGCAAGAGCATGTTCTACTTATAATCAATTTCTAGAACGAGGTAAATTTTTGAAAAACAATTTGATGAAACAGAAATTTCACAAGACTCGTAAAAAATCATCAATTCGTTAGTTCTTTGGTCGATACAATGACCAACTGCCACCAATAAGACATGTAAAAAAATAAATCAAGTAATTTTTTGGCCATATTACAACAAAAGAGCCAAATCTAACATTACAATTATAGTATTTCCTTCTTTACATAATTCCGGTCGGGATCGGTTTAATTGTGAAAAATTGTAAAACATAGGTAAATTTGACTCCTTTTATTTCTCTCAATATACGGATGCCCACTGATTTTATTGAGTGACTCAAAAGTTTGTACTTTGTATTCATAATAACATGAGAAAAAAAATCTGTCATTGAAATGTATTGGGTTTTATAACGTAATGAAATTTGGCTAATGAATTCAAAGAGTTACTTGCTAAACTCAATTTTGGACCACAAATTTTTTTCTAAAGAAATATAAATTGGAGTCTTATTCATTACTAAAATTAAAGATAAGAGTCTATGGTATAAATAATATTGATGGACACATCCAGGTTTTGCGTATCTGGTACATATAAAACAAAATAAAAACGTAGTAATTTTTTTTTACCCCCATGTTGACCTTTTTGCACTCAAAATTGAGCACTTACCGAAAATAGGACTAGAGGAGCACTAAAAATTTTTTTGATGTTATCATGTGTAAACACTTGCTTTATTAAGTCTATATGCAAAAAATAATAAAAATCCATGACATGCGATGTGCCACCCATTGCCTGATTTTCAGTGGACTGCCTCTTAAAAAGAATACATATATCAGGAGTATATATATATTTGTATTGTTTACTTTGTTAACGGAGTTGATGACATATAGATAAAGTAATAAATAAGTGTCAAGTGTCTAAAGATTATCAATAAGCCCACCCATACCCACCCCACCTGCCAATTTTCCAAACACACTGAAAATGTTACTTTGTAAAACTTGAAAGGTGACGTAGTATATTGATAAACAAAATGGCGTTCGTTTTCCTGATAGAGGAAATACATATTAATTAAACATCTAATTACTTATCTTCATCTAAGGCTTTGATTTCTTGAATTAATTAAAATTATATATATACAATACAGGGCGGCAATATAAATTAAAATAAATGCGGCTTTTATTTAATCTTATATCAAATAGTAGATGAGTCTTAATTACATGCAGAACTATAGCGTTAAGGTTTTATATTTTATTCTCTGATCATAGCATTACGGTGAAACCTTAGATCGCTACAGTTTGATTCTAGCAGCCAAGTCTTACTGTGCAAACGTACTCTTTATAAATGTAATGAAATATTTACCCCTGAATTACTTTGCAGTGTAGAGACGATTCATAATATTTCTAATCTAATTATAATCAAATACAATATTCTCTCTCATCAATGATCTGATAAAAACAAAATAGTCTACCTACTTGTTCTGCAAGACAACGATAAGACATTATAATATTCCATATACACGTATTTACTATTTTGTTTAATGAGAAAAATAAAATTATATAAGTATATTTTCACAATGTAATCCAAATTTTACTTTTATTTCGTTTTAATTTATAAAATATTTTTTCTTTCATTATCATTTTAGCAACTGACCCATTTGTTATAAATATATTCAACGATTTCTTGATAGTAAAACATAACAAAGGGGTATAATCAAATATTGAACCCAATGTTGATTGGTAAGTTTGGATATTGAATCTCGAAACTCGAATTTCGAATCTCGTATTTCGAAACTTGAATCTCGAATGAGCCTTCTGGGCTTTCGTACATTTCATATCATATACTGTTTGTTATCTTAATATCCTGCTTTCAATCTTTTTCGCTGAAAAAGAACTTTCAAAGGAACTTTTTCCATAAAATAATGAATTGAAAATTTACAATATTTTATACAAATATTTGATACACAATATGGTGCAAAAGGATCTTATGAACTAAATCATATGGTTGCAACCGTCAAGTCACTGATTACAATGTAATGCAGCTAGTGATTTTATGTATTCTAAGAAGGCACTGTTTAAAAAAATATAAATGTCAATATTAGGAATGTTTGTATGAAATTTGGTCTGTAAATCTGTAAATCACTTTGAAGTTGGTATACTTTTTATACAGCGCCGGCTTGCTTCAAGAAGTATGCATAAGTGGTAAGTCTATGTTATAGCTAATTATGTATAAAATCGTACTCTTTTTAAAATTTCACCTTGCTATGCAATAACTGCAATATCTTTAAAAAATTGATAATGTAAAGATTTTTATTCTTGATGCTTGTACATTTATGTGTTATAAGTGGTGATAATAAATATATATCTTGAATTATTTGACTTCAATTTGTGAAAAAGAAAGCAAATCGATTTGCTGGTTAAAGATACCTGAGGTGTTTATAAAATCCTGGTATACAGATCTGTGTAGAAATTAAAGATATTTTTTTTATTTTTCTCTATATACTGTAAACGTATTATATTTGGCTGTGTATTCTTTTTAGCGCCTTTGGCGGATAGTCGCTTCCGCTAATTCAAGTACAACGCTAAATGTCTTGCACATAAACTCATAAGTAAGGACATTCAGAAATGCGCTAAATCAAAACTACGCTAACCTGTTCAAAAGTCAGTTTCCATCAAATATCAAGTAAGTACTTATTCAAGTTTTAGAAGAGGAAAATGATGGTTCATTATTTACATCAGTTCTAAAATTTAAGATCAATGTTGACTTTTTAATTCACTGGACTTTTCATGTCGGACTTAAATACAATATTAATATTCACAATTTTCCCACCAATAATGATAAATCTCGTAAAATGAATTGCCTTTCCGTAGCTTGTTCTAGTTGCTAGAACCACTACAGAAGACATGAGAACTTTAGTTGAGTAACTGTCATTTATTGACCAGATAAATGACGAACGTGAACAAAAGTACATAAATATACAATTACATACAATCTTGTAAATTATAGCTGGGATAATTGCAAATAATGAAGTTTCAACTTAGATATGATATATAGCGATTAAGTGCTTATCCCTG